TGTTATTTGCTTAAACTCATTCCAATTGCAGTCTATTTAAGCCAAAGATGAATGACTTCCAACGCTGCACCCCGACCAACGTCTCAGACATTTTAATCAATTGTTGGTTGTTCGTCTCTCAATTCTCTCCGTTTCTTCCGCACTAACCGCCCTGCTCTCAATTAGCTTAATTAAAGCAAGAAAACGAAGGCAGGGAAGTCTCTCCTTCTTCTGCTGCTACTGCTTCAGGCACTCACTTGAAACGCAAACCCAAAGCCAAATCGAAACGCAAATGAGTTATGCAATGCTCGACAATTGCATATCAATTGAGCCAGCGGCTGAGACCACTCGGGCGTCGGTCAGTTACCAATTAGTTGAAAGTTTTGCGACAAATTGAGCCAAGAGATGGCACCATTATCGATGGTCGATGTTTGTCTCGCTTCCACAACGCTCATGACTGACTAAGCGGGGCGTCGTTGATGTTGGTGTTGTTATTGGTATCGCAGTTTTATATGCAAATTGCAGCGACGGCAGTATTGCGAATGTAAAATTCCGCTACACTCGCAACCACATACTCGTACACACACCCAACCGATTGTTGTTGACTTGTTTATTCACTGCATTTTCCGTATCAAAGAGCTAGGCGGACACATTGTTGATATTTGAAAATCAGATTTTTCGTGCGCACACGCATATAACAGAGCACCAGCCCCATGCCCCTTGCCCCACACCTGCACCCGTCATTGCAACCCGTTCGCTGATGATGCCCCACAATTCCAACTAAGTCAAGTGCACGTTTTGCATGCTCAAGCGGATATTTTGCGCACTGCTCGAGCCTTAATATATACATACATATACATTCGTACTTATGTAAATATGTATTTACATGCATCTACTATAATAATATTCTGTGTATATTTTTTCAGTCTGCGAATTTACCTCTACGTGTCGACACCATTAAACATTGCTGGCCCGCATATCCATACATTCAGCCTTCTAGGCTGGAGGCAGAGCAAATGCTCGTAAATATTAAGGACTGCAGCCATGCCCCACCCTACCCGACCAGCTGCGAGGGGCGCATAAATCGGCTGGAGGTTGTATGTATTTCCCTGGCTTGCCTTGACTTAACCTTAAGCTATTTTGGCCACAACTGCGCACGTTGTTCTCTAATTGAAAATCAATGGCAAGCCAAGTGGCTCGAATGCAACTTGCGTTGCAAGTGACGCGACAAACAGCAAATTTAGTACAACAAAAGCGATAAAAGGCAAAGAACAACAAAACCAGCAATTCAATTGATTGTGTCAAAGTTGGGCAACTGGGAGACACGCAAGGAAGCGTCGATTCAGCGCAAAATATGCAAAGTAGCACCAACTCTTCTGCACTTTCAATCTTTAAACACTACAAGTAGACTAGATTGTGCAGTAAAGACGAGAAAAAGTGATACCGGGAAAATTGAGATAACACAGTATTCGGATAAGGCGACAGTTCTCATACATTTCAAATTAAAACATGTTTTATTACATTTTTTTTTTGTTGAAAGCACCGTGTTCTGTGTTTAAGTTTTATTTTCCAGACTTATGCCATAATCCTTTTAGCGTGGATTGTCGTGGGAAATGAATATTTAAAAAAATTGCAGTCAATCTCATTTCTATTTTCTACAAACTCGGGCGAAGCAGAGCCTGTACTTTACTTCTATCACTAGGCAGTTATTGTCGTTCTGTGAATTCTTGTTTGAAAATTGAACATGTAATGTCTGCCACATTTAATATCCCTTATTACACAATTGTAAAGAACATGTTAATTAAACACTGCACATATAGCGCCGTATAGGGAGCCCGGCAACTTCATAGTCAATAACTTCAACTTCACGCAAAAGTTTGCAGCAGCTTGTTCAATTGATTAAAACTACTTGCAACATCGAAGCGAAACCTGTCGGGCCGTGCTCGGAGCTCATGCAATATTCGTCCATAGGCCTATCATAGATACATAATAAATATATACTATATGCATGCACAGCGGTGCTACAACAAGAACAAAAGCAGCATGGAACAATGCAAAGTTTCTTCTTACATTTTCAATAATAATTTTGCATTATTCAAGTCCCCCGAGTCTGTCTGCCTATTTGAATGGCTGGCGGCATGATGACGCCAGGCGCGCCTGCGTGTCGGTGGGCAATTCACAGAAGGGCAGGGAGTGGGATGCGGGAGGCGTGGGCATGGGTTGCATGCTAGGTGCATGGTATGGAATGGCGTGGCATGCATGGCAAATGACGTGTGGCGCGACAGGCTGAAAGTTTTGACGCCATTGTGGTAATTTTTGCAAAACAAAAACTATAGCAACAAAAAGACGACGTCAAATTGAAATGGGGAAATTTTTAATAGGCTGCAACCGACCAACCGACAACCCGACCGCCCGATCGCCCAACCGGAGACGCCGGCACAAAAGTTGTTAGGCAGTTTAAAGACATCGAGGTTTGACGCCCAGCTGCAATTTGCAAAGCCTGCTTAACGCAGCTCTGGGCCACAACAACAGGGACACTACTATACGGACGCTCCCTTGCAAACAAATGACGGTGCGACTGGCGTCAGAGTGTCGGGCCAACTCACAACGTAGCCTACAGTCGTACCTCTCTAAGTAGTCAGATTAGAAAAATTGTCTTTTCTGTGTAATGAAATTTTTTAAAAATGTGGAAAATTGGGAAATTAAACCCATAAAAGATATGAAATCGCGGTCTCAATTAGTATAGGATTGAAAACAAAGTTGATAACTATGCAGAACGTAACGTAAACAGTCTTAAGAGCAAACATTTGGAAAAAAGTGGAAAACGGGATGGGACTTGGCACTCTTCACGTTCCCATAATCACACAAACATACTGCACAATAGCTTTTTGTAGCTGAATAATAGCACCAATAAATCATTACATCTTCTTAGGGGTCTATGCGTATTTAAAGTGCAGAAATGGTGAAAGGTTGAGGTTAGGTTAACAGGCAACAAGACTGACTGTACCAGGAAGAATTGTAATACCATTTTGTACTACAATATTGTGGTCATCGTGGACTAGAAGAAAAGGCGAAGAAGAGACGCTGCAAAGTTTTGAAACGTGCCATGTTGATTAATGAGAGGCGTTGTTGTGCTTGTTACTGCACTTAGCTTTGTATTTATGATCGCCATTAAGCCGGGCCGGCGCCTTGGCGCACCTTCTTAGCGTGCTGGTGTTAAGGCAATTCCACGCCCATTTAAAGCAGAGTTCTGAACGCTTCTAAATTTAACGGCTTACTGATTGACGCTGTCAATTATTCAATACATTCAAAAGGCTGCCAGCCACAATCATCCAATCAACCACCCAGACAAGGCGACACTTGGCAGCTTGGCTTGCGTGGCCTTCAGCTAGCTTTTGGGTATTCCTGTTTGGCTTGAATATTACAAGCCCCGGCCTTAATTATTAATTGTCTAGTTGAAAGTTTTTTACGAATTGCAGGCTCATTAGCGGGTGTAGCAACAGCTGTTGCCTGAATGTCTGGCCGATTGGCTTTTGAAGCACAATAAAAAGACGACGAAGAATGTAACACAAAAACTTTTCCCTGGCCGGTCGTGATGGTGCCAATAAAAGTCCAATTGCGAATCGCAATAGACACTGAAAAGTAAAGTGCCTGTGGGTGTGTGTGGACAGTGAGGGCTGTACAGAGTGGGAAATTGGGCTACGAGCTGTGGTTTCATGCAGGGGCACAAAGGTTATGAGCCGTACCGACCGCATGTAGACCGAAAAGGTAATTGGTAAACTAAGCCGTTTATGTACAAGTATACAAGGAGAGACTGGCAGACAAGGCAGCAGCAAATTGGTGCAAAATTTGTTGAGCTCAACTGTACGCAAAGGAGACGTTTCGGGATGGCTGCTCGTCCATTTTGTCCACATTGTGAACAAATGCAAATTACTGCCGACCCTGTTGTTGCTTTTACCGTACACCATTCCTTTGCATTAGAAGTCAGTCAGAATGGTAGAGCAAGCACTTGGCCATGAGGCATTTCAGAAAAGGCTTAATGACTCTCGTTGCTCTACCTTTTTGCCAGAGCGCGTTGTAGAGCTTTCCGTTTCACAGAAGACCATTATTAATTGCTTGGAGTTGAATATAATAGCCAGCCAAGTGATATTTTTGTACTGCAATCCGCCAAAATCAATAATCAATTATGCAAGAGGCAGCAAGTCGGGTGACACAAGTTAAACAAGTGCCAAGCATGTCCATGGCCTAGAGCCTAATCGCAAAGAGAGGGGGAAAGTCCTGCACATTTTACATTTGTTGTTATTGCTGTTGGAATAACAACCACTCGCACGCAAATAGCCACATATGTACAAGTATGTGCATAATTGCATTGGGTTTCAAAATCCATGCAGTTCGAGTAATTAGATAAACAGACAGATGCAGGAAGAGTCAGTGACCAACAAACTCATATGTAGTTATCTAAATGCGGGTATAGAGGCTGACTCGTACACACGAACAAATGTGCTAAGGCTTTTATTTTTGGCAATCGATTGACACTTTATTTTGACAGCAGTTTCACAATTTATTTCTGGCCTACGTTCTTATTTGCTTTTCTTTCTGGCTTCATTAGGCAGCCCGACTTCAAAGCAAATAAACAACAGTATTACATCGAGCACCTGTTCTTCCTGACTTCAGTTCGCAGCAATGGAGGACCGTGATTCAGCCTCCTTGTATATTTGCAATTATTTCGCAATGTTCACATCCTTCACATCCCTAGTATGTCTGGCATTGAAAATATAAAAATACATGCGGTTGTCTGCTCTTGTGTGTGCGATTGATATGCAAAGAGCCCAGCAATTTAATTACGAGTTCTCTGAAGTGCTTGTCTGGGACAATTGGGTAGTTAGGGGAAAGAACCGCCATGTAAATATCCTGATTCCTTTAACTTAATTTATGTTCTAACATATTTTATTTAGATTAGATAGGGAACAGATATTTTCGTAAAGAGGAGCTGCCTCTCAATCAAATGGCTTGTCACTCACCTAAAATCCAAGCTCAAGTTCCTCTGATGCGTTGAAATGCGTTTCGGTGGAGTGCCATTGGCGCCGGCCACTCCTGCCTGGCCGGCTGGTGGCGCAATGCTCAGATTGGGTCGACCATGCACCGACGGCATTGAGTGATTAAACACACGACTCAGAGTGAGGCGCGGTTTGGAGTAGCGTGTGTGCTTTGGAGTGCTCGCCGCCGAGTTGACTGTCAGGCTACTGGTGCCATTCGGCACGATGATGGGCAATGTGACGGGCGCTGACTTCATGAAGGCGGCTTTTGTGGGTTTCATAAAGGCGGGCACATAATTCTCACATTCGGCCGTTCTGTGCATGACAGGCGATGCCAACGGTGTTTGGGAGTCATCTCCCCCATTGGAAGTGCACACGGCCAGCGGTTGGGAAGCGGTGGCGGGCTCGGAGCCCAATGACGACAGAGTCGTGGTGGACGCTGAGTGCGGTTCGCAGGTAATGGCAATCGAGGAGGCATACGAACAACTAGCCGAGGAATTGCTACTCAGACTCAAACTCAGACTTTTGGCTGGACTTGGCTGTGCTTGCGCGGCAGAGGCGGTTGTTGATGTAACCACAGTGGGACTGTGAACCACAGTGCTATTGCTGTGCTCGCTGCTACTACTCGTGCTGTTGCAGGCGGCCGTCGAATGCTCCGATATGTCATCGTCGTCCGGCACTGCCCCCGCATATGACGGCGGTGGTGAGCAGGCACCGCTCAACGGCTCGCGTGTGTCCATGTTGCCATTTTCGGCTAGGGTAACGAGGCTGCCAGTGCAACTACTTGCCTCGCTGCTCTTGCCATTCATGTTAAAGTCCGAGTCACTGGACAGACGCACGGTGGCAGGCGCGCAGTGATCCACAACATCGCTGCCACTTGCGGTGGCACCATTAAGCCCGTTGGCTGGACGGAAATTGAGCATTTCGCTGCTCTCGAGCAGACCATCGGTGGCCACCACAACGACGGGCGACAGCAACTTGTTGGCAGTCTCTATCTCACGTATGTGGCGCAAGTACTGGTAGCCATTGTCCTGAGCCACAGGCTTCTTTTTGGTGACTCCGCCGCCCACACTGGCTATGGTAATGGTGCCCACAATGCCGTTTTGCTGGCCATTGCCGGCGGGTATACCATTGCTGGTCGAGACTGCTGCACCTGCTCCATTGCTGCTCGCTGCGGAGGCTGTGGAGCTGTTTTTCTTTGTTTTAAAAGCGGAAATGACGGAGTTCATTTTGATTTCGTTTTTGAATGGGTGGTGTTATGGAGCCGTCTATCAGAGCCCGGACAGTGCCAGTTGAGTATAAGCGGCGCTCACAGTGGGTTAATTAGATTTTTGGTTTTGGCTTTTGATTATGTTGCGATTTTCTTTGCGTTCTCTCCGCTAGGCCATCCTAAATAGGCCTACTTGTTGCTTGCGTATGCACAACCTTATAATTACTTTTCAGTTCCATTTCTGGTAGATGAATTGCTGAATTGCCATAAATTGAGTCATTTTGAGGTTGGCTCATTCTGGTCGTTGTTTGCTCTGGGTTTGACTCATTAGGGTTCTTCACAGGAAGGCCACATGCTCGTTCTTGCACTCATGGTTGCATTGGGTTTTTATTCTGGAAAGAGTGAAACACAAATTGCTGCTAGTTAGTAATCCATTGTAGTACATTTCTTATTCAAAATAGAGCTGCTCAATACAGGGATTTTTGAATACTTGAGTCACCACATTAATCCAAATGGTTGGCCTCAAATTTCTATGATGTGTACCCCTGATATCATTTTTTAATTTGTTACAACAAAACGTTGGCGCCTGTGCCTCACAAAAGCGGCCGACAATCGGAGTGTCCTTGATGCGGCAATCACGCGACAGCCCCTCAATTGCCGACCCCCCACAGAAGCCAAGCTAATTCACGGGCAGGACACGCATTGTTTGTTTGTCTTATTTCACCAAAAATCTCTGGCATATGACCAAGCGAAAAATCGGTGACGGCAAAATTATAAAAATAAACCGTCTAAATGAACAATTTCAACATAAATAGCAGAACATCGCAAATTTGAAGGTGGCGCGTACATTGGTATGTGTGTGTCTGTTTCTCAAGTGGCCATGAAAACGTTCTAAAATATTTTTGTCTAAAAAACTTTTGTGTGGACAAGATCATCAAAAAGGGTGTACGGTGTGGGAAAAACCAAATTTAATGTTGACGTCGCTCGGGACCAAGCATGTAAATGGCTTTCAGCTTCTAAAGTGGCCCGCATCCACATCTACAGTGCAAAGATCAGTCGAGAAGCCACTTTCAAAACCGCCCGACGGTACATTGCACCCTGAGCCATTGGCTTGGGTATCTGCAGCCTTGACCCATATATTTGTGTGGTCGTTGTTGTTGCTATTGCTCATACTATACATACTTGTAGTATTGCTTAAGTGCTTTCTTCTTTGAATTATTGATTTTTAGTTTGGTTTACTTTTTCCATGAAAAAGTTTCGTCTTTTTGCCTTTATTTTTGTTTTTCAGCTTTTAAATGTCGCTTTGATGGTCAGTGGAACGTGAGAAAAGCACCAACCTGCGGCTTTTGTGGGGGTAAGGGAGTAAACAATTCCCCCCTAATCATAAGCTTGGGTTGACCAATGACTTAAGCTAAAACGAAAAATGTTATGAGCAAAACGAATGGGACCTTTAATGGCAATGGTTTTCCCAGCGGTTCTCTAATTCTAGTTAATTATGTGTGGAATTTTTGAAAAAGAAAGCAGACAGCTATACAAATTTAGGAGATAGAAAATACTTCTCTCAAACTAATACTTATATTCATAGTGAGGTTTCGATTTCATAATCGATTAAAACAATCACTTCAGCGATTTTTATGATGAAAAGAAGCTTTCATTCCACAGGCAAAATACCTAAAGAAATTAAAGACGTTCTTTGAATACCAAATTTACTAATCATCTTGCTTTTCTCTGTCCGCAAGAAGCTTAAACCTGACCTAATTGTTGTATTTTTAGGGCCACACTTGACTTTCTGAGCCTGCCCAATGCTCTTCTTGTCTATAGCTCTGTTGATGATGATTAATGATACATCATATTGTAGTCGGCTTGCCAGTGCATCAAGGCTTGACAGAAACGGTGAACAATCCAGCGTGCAATCAAAGTACGTTTATGGAAACAAAAACAAACGAAAAAGTGTAGCAGCCATGAGAGCAATTTCAATTAAAGCTGCAACTACAACTGCTTGCACAAGACAACAACAACAACAGCAATCATGCTCACCTTCAACGCGTTTGTTGAACGTTGTGGCATGCCGGCGATGCGAACAATGTGCGGCTCCTGGTTGCACACATTTTCGGCACGCGCTCTTTTGCAACTTGCCTATGGTGCAGGTGGATGCCTGCACTTTGAAAAGCGTCCACCCTCTCCCCCTTAGACTACCACCCACAACCAGCTATGTAACAAGGCATCTCTGCTTAGCAATGCTATCAGAGCTAGGCCCATTTCGTACTTCCCATGCTGGCACATTCCACACTAGGTCGTCGATGCTTTGTGCGCAGAGCAGCAGCAGCAGCGGCAGCTACCTTGCCCCCATTTCAGACCGCCGTTGCATGCTGCGCAGGCTGCTCGTCGCCCCTCCCCCTCTTGGCCCGTAATGCAACTGTTGAAATTTCAATGCTTTTGCTTGCTCTCTCACAACACGTTGGCTTGACTTTCTTTTATTAGCAAGACATTTAATATTTATAAGCTGCTGGCCTGACCTCAATTACCCGCTGTTTTAACTCTGCCTGCCCCTGCCTCGCTCCGCACCCCCCACCCCACTGTTATAGGGGGCATTGCAATCAAAGAGCCTCAATCAGTGCTGCGTGTGCCACATAACGAAAAAAACTTAACAAGAAAAAAAATGAAGAACGATGGCAAATAAAATTGGAATCTGTATGAGTTGTGAAGTCAAATAAAAAGTGGGCGTATTGTTTGCATTTACTCTTGTTATTGTAAATTGTGCTTGTTTTTGTGGTTTGCCCCATAAGTGTCATTGTTTTTACCTATTTGCCATCGCTTTTCAAGCGCAAACTTTACTTAACCTAATGACAAATAATTTTACACTCTTTGCGGCCTTTGGGCCAATTATAAGTGCCAAATGGGTGTGACGTACATACGCAAACAAACGTACACATCTAGGTATACGAGTATATTTGTATACAGTGGTAAAAACAGACTGCAAAACACTGATTCATCAATATATAATAAAAGATAACAATGCAGTCAAGCAAGCCTGACCGCAAAATATCCTGCACTAGAACATAAAATGTGCCATAATATAGAATGAATATTACAAATTAATCCAGCTCAAATAACTGTTAACATATTTAGATAATATTTTTGATTTATGATGGAGATATATAAATATCGAGAAAATAATAAATCTATCCGAGATAAGTATTATGCATAATTTTTATAAATAAAAAGTTCTAATAATAAAATAATAAAAATAAAATAAATACTTGTACGCACAAGTATTCAAATTTCACCTTTCGGTTATTTAATTAAAAGCTTATTGGTTTTACGGTCCAGCCTAAAGGTCAATATCAAATTTTATTTATCTACCTAACTATACAGCGACATTGTAAGATATATATGTATAAACAGAAAAGGTTGACAAATGTAGAAGAGTATTCGAATGAGTTGGCGCAACTAATTACTCACACTATTGACAGGTTTATCAAAACACATAACATTATTTATGACACATTTATAAGCTAAAAGATATTATGCGTGTTTATTTTTTTGCACTACAACTAGATGCTCAATCAATGCCGTAAGTAGAAAAGCTATAGTCGGGAAGCCCCAATTTGAAATACCCTGTACCTAAATGTAGAATAATCATATTGAAAGCTAGACAAAATTGAAAACAAAAAAAAACAATAAACAAAATTGTATTCCTTTCATACCTTTCAGGTGCAAGGTAGTGGTGCCAAGGCTCAACAATTGTGTGGACGTGTGTGTGTGAGCGTATCTATGTCACTAGTTATCTAAATGCTTCAAAGAAATGGCACATAGATATTTAGTTGCGTGCTTTTCAACATGAAACAATCTTGACAAGAAAAACACAAAGAGAGAGAGAGAGAGAGACATAATACGTCATGGTTAATACAATTAAGCGGCTAATCAAATCCAATTAAAGTAACGCCAGACTCAACATAGTAGATCGGTGCTCTGTTGGATAGTTGGCAGTAAAATTTGGATAGATACCAACGTTTTTAAAGTTTAAAGTTGTTTGGGCCCAGCAAACTTTTGCATAAAAGTTTTGTGGTAGTGGGATTTTTTCATGTCTACTTAAGGAGCTTTGAATCGAAGTCTGACAAGTGTAATGCCAACTAAGGCGGGGCAGTGTGTGGGTGTTCGAATTCAATCATTTAATCATTTTGTTGTAGCACGCCCAAGCTCTATTCAACGCCAAGCCACTATGCTAATTTAGTCAACTCGAAATAAGTGGACAACAGAAAAATCAGCTTCTACTTTTCAGGGAGATCGAAGCAATTCAGAAATCTTTTAATTTATGTATGACGGATAGTTCTATAATTAAACCGTTTTATCAACGGAGCTGCAACAACGACTGAAGCAAAAGCTCACTATCGTTCTGATTACAATTTCCGCAACTCATTCTGAACTCATTGAAAAGCAATAACAAAAGCAAGCAAGCTGATAACAGTAAGGCGTAGATTTCAATGGAAAGCTCCTCAATGAAGATCATATTCATATACAATGGGCGCACTGATTCATCGGCCCGGCAGAAGCAACAAATGCCATGCTATCGTAAATAAGTCAAAAATTAATTTCACAAACAAGAATGGAATGCTAGAATGGAGCTGGCCTGACTCTTAAATACACCAATAACAAAATTATAACATTTACTTTTGAAAACTAAATTATATAAACAAAGTAAAAATTATTTAACGAATAGGTGGAGACACAAGTACATCGGGATCGTATCTAGACCTAGCACATGTACACGCTATGGAGTAAAAAAGTTCAGCCAATGCAGCGATTACATTTATGGCTATAGCTTTCTTTAAAACAATTACAGTAAACATTTGAACACATAAGCACAAACCGGATGTAATTAACAAATTTGAGTATATAATTCCAAGAATTACGGAAGTTAGGGAAAATCATAAATAGCGGTGGAGTGGAGGGTGCATCAGAAAAAAAACATAAACTTGATATGTCTAGGGCTTGGGGTAACTTGGACTGCCACGCCTCCTTCTGTGTGTTACACACAGGTGTGTACGATCACTCTAAACAAAGATAAAAAAAGAAAAAAATAAACAAAGACTTCGTGGTAATTAAGCAGATTAGCGACAACCGACGCGGCCAAACGGTGGACATCCCAAAATAGATACAGACATACACAAAAGCTAATTAAATGCTCGTATTTAACCCGACACATACGAATATGTACACTCAACTGTAATAAACGTTTGCCATTACGGGCAGATAGTTCTAGGTTCTTAGATGACTAGGTTCGGCCAATTTTTCCCACAACATTGTTGAGACAAAGAGTGGGAGCTCCTATCGAGTTGTCGAGCATTATGGTTCTCATTGGAGGACCCTTTTCGTCCGCCTAAAGCGATTC